CTTTTCGATCCACGGATATTATCCGCCTTCTGTGCATTTCAGAGCCTGCCGCGAACTTGTGGAAACTCACTCCGCTACTTGTTTTTGTTCCTTTCGGTGCAGTTAACGGCAACACCGCTTCGGGGCATGCTGAAATGCTATTACGCCCATGCAAAACGTGCGCCCTTCTGCCCACACCACCCGGCTCCGGCGCGATCGCAGCGCCGCCCCAACTCCGTGACGTCAAGCCCGCGTGTCTGTCTATAGCCGCTGGCAGTAGTGCGTGGCGAGTCCCAAACACCATCTTATCGCTCCTTACAGCTAAACTTACAAATGCATATTTAGGTGCTTTTGTAAGCCACCTCAAAACTGTCACCAGGTTTTGGCGAGACCCAAGGACAAGAGCCCCGGAATATATGAAAGAAATAGCTCGCGAATGCCTCCCCCACGCAAGAACGACCGCCATCTCACAGAAGAGGCGGAAAGGGGTATCGCTGCTGCGCTCTCTTCATCGACGTCCTTGATTTCGGGATCCCAAAGCCTTGTCCCTAAAACGTCCATCACCCATCGGCACGCGGGTGCTCGAAACGCGAGGTTGACTCGGCAAATATCTTAGCAATTTACCGACCACCCCGCTGCGCCGTTCTATACGAATAAGACGAATACGCAGAAGTTCGAGATCTGACATCGCCGACTGAACGTTTGATTCCTAATGCCTTTGCACACACAGAATAGTCCAATTGCATGAATACCCACCACGCCCATATTTTGAACTTGTCGTATACCTTGCTTCCTCCCCAACTGGAGAAAACCTCTTTCAGCAAAAACGCGAAAGGAATGTAGAGAAGTCTAGGCTCAGTGGGTCTGGCTCCCAGACTCTATATTCACAGAAGCCTTGGAAGCTATAATCCGGAGAACGATGTCGATTAAGGAGGCGCGGCATTGAGGCGTCTTGACGCTTATTTTGTCAAGATTTATTTGTCTGATTAATAAAAAGAAAACTGTTAGCGGGTAATCTTTTTATAGGCTTCAGTCACTCCGAATAAATTCCTACTTGTGTTAAAGGAGCGGTGCAACGATATTCAATTGGAATGTTTTTCACTTGACACGAGCTCACTGGCACACCTGGGACTCAAGGATACTCACAAGCAACGCCACTGGCCAAGAAACTCCTTTGTTGCGGTGCAATTTCAAGGACAAAAGCGATCATTTTCATTCAGTCTCTCCTTTGCAAAATTTGATGACGTAACGTGGGGATCGCAGTACACCCAAGTGACGATATTTGAATGCGGTTCATAGATTGGACCCGAGCATTGCGTGGGCACTCGACTTGGGCTCGTGATAATTGCTAGCTCGAGAAGCATTCGGGTAGTGACCCGTGTCCAATCGCTGCAACGACGACAACAGCCGAGCCATAACAATATCTGGAACTCAGCGCGTTCCCTGCGCTTTGCCAACCCCAGCGCGTGGCTATGATCGACATTGGCGGCATATAATCGGCTCCAGATCACGTGGCCGCTTGTTCTGGCTGCGAGTTGAGGGGGTGAACGCTGCTCGTTTTTCTTTAATTTTTTTCTGGGACTTCTATTGCGTGGGGTGAAAAACGAACGCGTGTTTCATAGGTCATTAACGTTAGGGATCCGTTTTAAGCGGTATTTGCGGAAAGTACAAAAATTGTTGCGTCGCTCCTTTAATACAATGCGCCTCGCAGTTATGGTTGCAGGAAATAACGACGCTTATCTCGAAAACTTTCCTCTAAATAACCTAAGGAAAACAGTTTTCCGAGATTTATGACGGCATTGCTTTTCTATGTCGAGATGAATAAGAGCGAAAAAGAATAAGAAGAACGCAATAAACAGCAACTTATGGCGTGTGGGGCACTTTTTAGCCGTGAAGCCATTATTCTGCCAAAATAAAACAATAGGTGATTAAAAACTTATCCTAAATATCTTTCAATTTAAGAAACGAAGTTTGTGGTGTTTATATATCCGTGTGATTAGAATAAATATTCACGTAAAATGTACTGCACGTGAAAACTAATGCTGGACGCCATCGTCTACTTCTAATGAATCCGAACGACAAGCCAAAGGGTGTAGGAAAGTGAGTGTGCGATTATAAAATAATTACAAACTGAGGCTTGTGCTTTTTAAAGCTGATAACTTTGTTTTTTGCTAGAATCTCCACATATGAAGACTGCCAAGCGAAGGTTTTGGTGGACCTCAACCAGTGTGCCCTTTTGATGCTGTGTGAGCAGTAATGGCGTCCCCTGTCACTTTACAATCTTTTACCCAATTCGCACTGCAGCGTAAAGGTACCTTTAGCTCAGGTCCCTTAGCTGAAGGTACCTGTAGTAAACGGCGTTCTTAATCCCAAAATAAATAAACGGAGCAGTTTGTGTTGATGTCGATTGCATTCCTGCTAAACCACAAGAGGAGCTCGTGGTAAACAATGATTCCTCGAAATGAGATTGAAGCACAGTTTTTGATTTTTCTGTGCGAAATATCACATTAAAAACCTAAATATCATTTGTGTTTGCTTTTGCGGCACTTTTTTTTTCTCTAAGTCTAAGGGCGCACCTAAATGAGTCTCGCTTTAAAACGTCCGACCCGTCTGGTCACAGTGGCCCTAAATCATCTGCCTTTACTAGTTTCCATTGCGAAATGGGCGACCTTTTCCTGTTTACCAGCTCCATCTTTCCGGAAAGTTCTCACTGAAGTAGCTAAATAGTGCCCGGCAGAAACGAACAACATCGGAGTCGATGGATGACGACGAGGATGAAGGGTCCTGGGCGGGAGAGTCGGACGACTCGTCTACAACCTCGAAAAAGAGCTCGCAGTGGTTCATCGCGTTCGGGTTCGTAGCAGACATTGCTTTCCACGCTCCGCCGCTGCTGCCGGCTAACTGGAGTATGCGTACCTCGTTAATGTATTACTTCATAACATTTGTGTTCCCAATCATTTCATAATTTGCTACTTATATATACAGATATATATATTTAATTTATTATAATGCATTAAAATATAATTACATTTTTGCGATTTTTATGTTGAGTTCGTGGGTCCGAGGCTAATCCCTGTTGCTGTAAAGGGAGCATGGCGAACTCCGTTTAACACAGGGGTGCTATGCTGAGCTTTTCGGACTCCCAGGAGACTAGGGAGAAGGAAGTGACGTCAACAACGCAGCAAACGCAGATTGGATGTTGACAGAAGAAAACGAAATCAACACCCAATCTGCGTTTGCTGTTTCGTTGACGTCACTTCCTTCTCCCTAGTCTCCTGGGAGTCCAAAAAGCGCAACATAGCACCCCTGGACCTCCCTTAGCGAAAAGGACCTTTATGCGCCGTATGATCACGATCTCCGGCTCCCTTTACTAAAGGTACCTGTGCCAAAGGTAGCTTTACGCTGCCGTGTGAATTGGGTATTATTTGGTTTCAGTCTTTCCGCTGGACTGAATGTCCACTCCTAAATATTCATCTCATTGTCATCGAACGCGAGATCGTGTATGCACAAAGAGAAGGCAGTGAGCTGGAGCAGTTGCTGGATGCCGAACACTTGCAAAATAGTAACTGAGAACCGAAGAACAACTTAATTATGCCTGTGTTTTCCAATAACCGAAGACTTTTTTTTTTTTTTGTGGCTAGACGTTGTTTAAAGGGACAAGGCTGCCCTTTAAGCAGTTCGTAACCCAGGTACAATACGTTCCTATAGTTGGTTCATACTTGTTAACCTGGTCAACCGAAGTTTGACGAAAGACAAACTGTTGCCAAACAAAGCGCTTGCTGGAACTACCGATAAACTATCAAAATCGACGATGTAACGCGAGCACCTAGCCTCCATTAGACTGCGTACGCCGACACAAAAATTAAGAAAAATAAAACTACCGATGCAAGGATGGCTACACACGGCGACGTGAAAACACACCGGAGGCGATCGTCCTTCCAATATGGGGCGGACAAGACTCTCCCTTCGCAAGGTCGGGCCGACCTCGAAGCACCAGACAACGGTCACGTAAGCCCAGAGTGTCGCAACTTGCGGCCAGACGCAACGACCTCCACAGAAGCCACCACGGGCCCTCATCCATCCAAAACCAAAGAAACCCGCACAAGCGGACCCAGCGAAAGTGGCTCGAGCACGTCGATCGGTCAACGGTCCCCGGGAGAGCGGATCGTCGAACGGATGGCGCAACAATTTGAGGAGCAGCGCCGGTACTCCTCCCGTCCTCCGGTAGTCTGACCATCCGCCAAGACGACCTTCGCCGCTCGCGAAGAGGGCGAGTCGCTCGCGCGTAGACGGCCTTTCTTCCGCGTGCACTTTGCCTCGCGTATATGAAGCTCCTTTCAGGGGGACCTCATTTCAGCAAAGGAAGGGCCAAGCGCGAACGCCTACGCCTGCTGAGCGTGAAAAGTCCAGAGAATGAATTGACAGACCAAGAAGTCTGCAAGGTGCCGTTTTGTTGATTCCTATTAAAACATTCTAGTGAGGCTGTTCGTGCATATATGGTCGATGACAGGGTAAGAACAACTAAGTAGAAGCTCCGAGTCGATCGCGAGCTTTGATAACAATGTGGATGTACGCTTAATCAAAGCTCGACAGAGAGCACGAACGCGTGCTGGAGACGGAGCTTCTATCGGGTTCTTAATCTGTCACTGCCAATAGACAAGTGGAGAGCCGTTCGTGCCCTAAAGGTGAACTGCAGTCACTGACAGCATGAGAACTGCAGGAAGGAGCAATTCAGTTGTCCCGCCTCTAGTGCGCGCTTCCTACCTTCGACAGCGCTTCGAAATCAAGTAAGCCTCGAGCTCGTGAGCGCTGAAAAAGGCACGGCCGGAAGCGCGTGACTTCAGAAAGTGCCTTCTACGTTCCACTTCTAGCCCAAACAAAAACATTCGATTCAGCCAGGCTAACACACGTTTGCAATTGTATGTAGTGTAGCCATTGTGAGGGGATGGAGTGTACGTCTTTGCCAAGGGTCTATTTAGTTTATTGATGTGTGCGCCACCAAAGCTTGAGCGCGTACTTACATCGGATGGCCCAGTCCTTGAGGCGCCGGACACCGAGGATGACCTTGAGGAGGGCGGCTTGGCAGTCCCCCGACACCTCGGCCTCGCTGCTTGCCTTTACGAGCGTGGGAAACACCTTTCCGACCGCGGACTCGGCCGCAGTACGCAAGGCCTTCTCCATTTGGCTCCACTGCTGCTCCACCTGCGATAAGAAACTCCATTCAGTCAATAGAGAATTCCGGAAATTACCACAAAGGAATCTCGTCAAACCCCCATTGCACCGTGAAGCGCGGGGAATTCTGGGGCAGTTCCGATGTACGCTTGGGATGGCACGTACGGTCCGTGCATCCTGGTAGTAGCTCAACAGCGGGAATCCTCTGGGCGCAGTAATTGGGGCGGATGTTTAGAGCGCTTGCTCAGAACGAGTTCACATTACTAGGCTTCTTAGACCGGTAATTATGGTGGTGCGGAATGCACGTCGCAAAATAATTGTGGAAGCACGTCAGCACACGCTCAGCAGTTGCACACACAAATATGGCATGCCAGCGCATACAATACAGATGCGTAGCCTGTTTTGTTATCGTCCTTTTTTTTTTTGCGTTCTGAAATCGGAATGTGCTAAGCAAAGGCGCCGAGAAACTGAGGCAGAGGAGGAGACCAGAGCGGGCGGGGACGTCCGAACGCCCCGAGCTCGAGTTCGAATATGATTGGTGGGTAGACCTCAACAAGCTGCCTTTGTCTTCCCTGCATTCGTCGAACGTTCGAATTCGCTCAGAGCAGGTGGTTAGGGGGCACCAGAGTCGAGCGACAGCCAGCGCCCTCTGTCAGTCAGTGGCGATACAGAACGATTCGTAGTCGGCGGAGCAGCGGTGCACTTTGGACGGGATGCCTCCAATGAGCTTGAGTCTTGCCTTAGAGCGGTAAACCGGAACCCACTGCCTGCAGCGGAAATGGCACCCTCCCGGTTGCCGCCATCTTGCCTGTTTGCCACATTAGTGATCACGTGACGTTAAGATGGCTGTGCCCAATGGTGGACCAGATCAGAATGGCCAGATCGCGGTCAGCAGATGGCAGATGGGCACTCTGGGGCTGCGTTCGAGTCTCCTCGAATGGTGCCGAGTTATTCCGGCGGATCAAGTCACATGACAAGACAGATGCAGCAACGCTGCACGTGGGTAGGTTTTTGAACGCAACGGGTACGAGAACTTCACCCAGGAGTGCAATAGAAGCTGCGTTCGAATTACTTGCAAATCCTGCACTGGTGCAGAAAAGTGTGGAGCGGTGTACCTCCGGTCGTATCTCAATGCATATACCGGAAGTAGACTGCCCTATACTTTTCTGCACCGGCGCAGGAGGTGCAATTAAATCGAACGCAGCTTTTATCTCACTCCTGAGTGAAGTTCTCGCACCCGTTGCGTTCGAAAACCTACCCGTGTCCAGCGTTGCTGCATCTGTCTTGTCACGTGACTTGATCCGCCGGAATACCTCGGCGCCATTCGAGTAAGATTCGAACGCAGCCCCAGAGTGCCGATCTGCGGACCGCAATCTGGCCAACCTCTGGGCGCACCCAGCACCCATCTGGACGTCACGTGATCACTAATGTGACAAACAGGCAAGATGGCGGCAACGGGGGGGGGGGGGGGGGGGTGCAACGGGGGGGTGCCATTTTTGACCGCTGGTTTACCGCTCTAAGTTTACTTAAAGTGACTTTAAGTTTACCCAAGCTCGTTGGATGCCTCCGATCGTGCTATTTTGCGGTTTGAAACAGCTTAAAGGGGAACTCTGCCGATCTTGTCATAGTCTTGGATTTGGCTGGAAATTGACAGACCGCATCAATAACCCTTCCTCAACTGATAGTCCAAATATTTTATAAAAATAAAAATGCCCAGTGAAGTTATTATTGTTTTTTTTTTTTTTTAATTTGAATTCGCCTCCTGAAACCCGCGAGGATACCAGGAGGCGGCTCTCTGCTGGCAACAATGAAAAATCCTTACTTTTCCCTACCCGCGTACATCACCAGCGAAGTGGCCTTCCGGATGCCAGCAATCCAGATTATTTTTTCACAGCTTCAAGGGTAAAAGTTTCCTTGTAATTAATAGCAATCTGTGATTCGCGGGTGACTGTAGGAACAGTGCTGGAAAACTTTTTTACCCTTGTTTTCACGGGAGAAAGAAAAACCCGCTCCCCGGCAGCAATGGAGGCCCGCCACGTCAAGGTGCTTTGGTGTGAGCTGTGTGCCTAGAGAACTAGTGTCACGTGAAATATTCTCACTTATGCTTGGAACAGCTTCAAGAGCAGCAAGCGCAGACTAAGCCGGCTGTGACCACCGCTACATCCGTCCAAAAAGGAGCACTAATAATATATAGAAAAATACTGCTCACTCTAGCACTATATTCTAAATTTGACGCAGTCACATTTGTTGTGCACAATTTCTTCAGTGATTTTTTTTTTCTTCTTCATAAACATTATTTTTATTTTGGATATCGAATCTAGCTCGGGCGAGTCTCGGAGTTCCACTCACGACGCCGATCTGTTGAAGACGAGAAGTTAAACTTCTAAACAAAGTCAAGTCTTAGTTTAGACTTGACTTTCGATATTATTGCTATTCGTGTCTGGTATTACAGAGGTTTATGGAACGGGTGTTGGGCTCCATTAATGTACGAAAGAGTCGGTGCCTGGTTTGTCAAGTGGCTGGTGTGCGATGCTGTCTCGGAGAAGAAGTGGTGAAAACATCTTTATTTTATTCTATCGCGAAGAAATGTTATATAAGGCTGAAATGCATTTTTAAAACCACGAACATATTTATGTCATTGAGGGTAGGCATGTAAATTTAAGCTGATAAAAACTGTGCAAAACCAAATTTTAATTTTAAAAAATCTATAGGGTGATTTCAGATAAGATCGACCAAAGGATGGCTAGTCGACATTTTCAAATCAACTGATGTTTTTATATGTTATTGTCTAGTGTCTGGTATGAACGAATCCAAACTTAGTTTTGACTAGAAAAAATACTTGGGGACAGGAAAAATCGTAAGGCATGAGGTGGTGGACAGTTGCATTAACGCGCACTGATGGAGGGGGCCCGTTTGACAGTGAATAACTAAAGCGATAACATTAGGAGAACTCTAATACGTTTTAGGCGCAAACTATGGGTATAGCTTGCTTGTAAAAGTAATATAAAGTAATCATATTTATTTAAAATTTATTTATTTTTCTAAAAATTGACAAACATGCCTGCTCGAACGACAAATGGCAAATTTTGCAGGTCTGTATCTCATGAAATAATTTAATCATTATGATATAATTTGCAGATATTATTCTACTAATATATAGCTAATATTTAAAAAATAACTAAGGTATCTGTGTGATACAATAGTTAGGATATATTTAGTCAAACATGGAAAAAAATCCAACAAAGAAAAATTCCGATGTGAATAAAAAAAAAAACACCACCCTCGATTTTTTTTAAATTTAGGTAACCTGTTATACCCTATTTCGGCATTCATTTCCATTAAAACATGTTGCATCATTTTATTGAGAAAGAAGATACAACTCCCCAAAGTAGGGTCCTTTTTCAAAGCCTACACTTAGCAGTGTTTTATACAAGAACCGACTCTGAGTTCCAGTTTCATGAAACCAACACACATCTTTTATATATTTTTATTCAGATGAGGCCAATGATAACTAAAGAAATCGTTCACACACTTAAATTAAGGAGAAACTACTGTGTACAAAAAGGTATCATATTACGGACTAGTGATCCGAGAAAAGATCATGCAGCCATCGGCCACTAGGAACTTTGTTTACTTTATTCTCCTGCGACACTATATGCTATTCCCTCTTCCGCTCTACATTCATCTCTCTCTCTCTCTCTCTCTCTCATATATATCCCTGATATATATCCAGAACAAAAACATGGTCAAGCATTCCCTTTCTGCGTGGTAGTGTTCTGTGGCTAGCAAAAATCATTTCCTCGCTAAGCTCACGATTATGGCAAAATAGTTGCCGGAAACCGCAGACGACACTCGTCGCTAGTTCTGGCAAAACGGCCGATACAATTTTTTTTTCGCTTTTCCCCGCTCGCTGTCAAGAACAAGGGGGTTCGCTTCAACCAGCAAAACATGGCCGCCGACGCCTGTTTACTGAGCAGTCATGCCTGTCGCCATCTCACTCGCTGGCGTCACGGGCGATAATATCAGGCACAAAGGGGCACACCAACCGGCAGCATTATCCCCAAATACTCGAGCCTCGCGTAAATACATAGAGTGTAAACGCTGTCGCCATGTTATCGTAGTAAGACCGCCCCCCCCCTCCCCCAACGGGGGACTGCAGTACGCGACGGCGTACTAACACAACGGCGACGATATCGACATCGCGGGCTCCGAATTTTCCCATAGTTCTACTCCACGGGCATTTCTCGAAACGCTTGATATTGTGTACGCCCGCCTGGAAGGATTTCAGGCGCGTAGTTAAGATAAGGCGGTTCTCCGCGGCAAAAGAAAGCAATTTCACAAAAGCTTAAAAGCGGCGGCGACGCGTGTGCGGTGAACGCTTGTAGTTTTGGTGTAGACAGGGTGTGTGTGTTCTCGTTGTTGACACCAGCCGGCGATAAGGCACTGCAGGCGGTAGCTCAGTACAGCAAGGGCTAATCCGAGTGACCATCAACGTAACCCCACCGCCAACCCCTCGCGAACCGGTCGCCGACATGGCTCAGGCTGTGTCATGAACCACGTGGTAGAAGCTCGGGTGCTTTCATATCAGCGCGTGGAGGGACGACAGTGCGATTCCGGAAAGTCTTTTTCGAAGGCCGCTGACCACAATTTTTTGTCTGGAGACTTTCCCTCTTTCTTCCTTTGACGTGGATCAAGCTTTGCCGACAGCCTCAGTTGTGACCTCTCTTTTCAAATGTACGTTTGCAGTGAGTGAGCTCCTCAGCCTCGGACTTGTCACTTGTGCACCCAGTAGTTCTTTCACTTGGCAATTATATGCCATCAGTTAGGGTTTAATTTCTATTATTTATGTATACATTATGAAGACGTCCTGGAGCTCCGAACGAGTGTTTTGTGCAGATTACTTTTGCAAACACAAAAAGACTATACGAAAGCAGCGGAATTTTCGAAGTGTTGGCGAGTTGGACCTAAACTCGTCGAAGCAAATTCTTCCGCCTGACTGTTCCACCAAAGTGAGTGCGACGGACTACCTG